TGGCATGTGTTCAGCGCCTGCCAGGAATCCAAATGGTTAGGAAGGTTAAGTTGGTTAACATTATGGGCCCACTTATTTTTAGCTTTCAGTGCCTTCTACTGCTCAGGACCTCATGTTAGGAAAGGTCTCCTAACTTTTCCCTCTCTCCATTCTTAATCAAAAGGTCCTTTACTTGGACCTGTCTTCTTGACTCTGTTTTAGCTAGCTAATGATAAACTCTGAAGACCGAAGGAGATATCCAAAAGGTTTTGCAAATCTAAAAAATCCTATAAATGTGAGTTATTAAAATACATGGATTCATCAGAGCTACTGAGTTACTAGGCAGCAAGGTGGTACAGTGGATAGAGTGTCAGACTCAGAGCCAGGTAGACAGATTCATCATCTTCCTGAGCTCAAATCTTCAGACACAAGCTGTATGTCCCTGGGCAAATCACTTAACCCTGTTTGCCTTAGTTTCCTTGTCTGTAAAATGAGCTGGAGAAGTCTTTCTTTGCCAAGAAAACCCCAAATAGAGTCATGAAGAACGAGAAACAACTGGAAAACAACTGAACAGCTGTTACTAAGATTTCTACATATTCTCTCTCTTAATTGTTGTATTTTAAAAAGGACTTTCAAGACAGCCAGTTACTGAAAATTCAAAGGACTAGGGTCTGAGTCTCAGGCACTATTGCATGGCAATGGGGAGAAAGTTTTGCACAGTATCTATTCGTATTATTCTTTTCCATATCTAAGCTCCCTTTAGCTGAACAAACCAAGTCCCCACTCCTTTGCCTGGAATTCAAAGCCACTCAAAGCCTGGTACTCCCCAGCTTTTCTCTTATGCTCCTCCCCTCTCTGCTCAGGGCTCCACACCACAACCACCATTTCCCAGGTGTAGCTCCTGATTTCCTGCCTCTCTTGGCCTTTGCTCTTCTTTTGGCTTGGAATGGTCTTTCCCCCCTTAATGCTGAATTTCTATTTTAAAGCCCGATCTCAATGCTCTCTTCTTCAGGAAGCCATCCTTAATCTTTCCAACTCCCCATAACTCAAACAGTATTTTGTCTCTCTTGTGCCCTTGGCTATGACACAAAATGAGATGTGAGGTTTGTATGCGTTCTCTGCCCCTAATTACACTCTAATGGGGCTGTCTTAATTAACTGTGTATCTTACTTACATCAAGCACCCAGTAAGTGCTACATGTTGAATTGAAGGGGGCTCAGGCATCCTTCAAATTACACCCTGTAGGTTGCCACTTACTCTGTCTATTAATAGGGCAAAATGCAGCCCATTATAAAAAATGATGACTGAGGCCAGTGACAATGGACTTCAGTTGTCAGGACTAAGCCTACGGGAAATGTTACTTATTATATGATTGGCTCTAGGTGATGAATTTTTTGGTCACTACAACTCTCAAAAACCTTTTTCACAATCATAGAGAAATTGTGATCTGCATTGCTAGAGAGGATATTCATGCCAAATAAAATCAGAGGTCCCTGAAGAATCAAAGAAGTCAACAGAACTGAATGTTCAAATTTTCTTGAGGATACAAAATACAATTTTCAAGCAATGAAAACTTGTGGTCAATTCACCAAGCCAAAAGACCGCAATTGTCATTAATATGATCTTTAATAAATGGAGTAATGCACCATTTTACAGCAAGCCTTTTTTAAACCTAAAGAATTGTCTTAAAATTTTCTTATCCAATGTCTCTGTATCAATACAATCTCTCTTTATTTAGGTTTATATATATCAAAGCATTTACTTACAAGTATTCATAGAAAACTCTGTAGTGGCTTAATGTCAGCTTTCATAGTGGCATCCATAGATGATAAAAAAAAAAGGAAAGGAATTTGCTTTATTTCATATTTCATAGTCACACTGTTCCATCAAACACAACTTATACAGCATAGCAAGTTATCAGACAGCTTATACAAAAGCAAAGTAACTAAAAGTAATTATTTATAAATTCATACATGATATTCCATCCATAATTTTAGAGGAATGGACACCAAGTTAAGAGGAAAACACACCAACAAAAAATACCCGTTAACAAGAGGGTTCTGAGGAGATTCTGCTTTTTCTTTACACTTTCTTTTCCAGAAAAGCATACTTAGACATGAATGTTCTCTAGTTTATATTTCTCCTGTCCTTTCCTAATAACCATGGCAGCTATACATCTCCATGTTTCAGCTTCTACAAACACCAAACCCTAGAAGTTAGTGTATTTTACAGTAAACCATGTATAGTCATGTGAAAAAAGTCACCAACTGAAATCTAAGGATGATTCCAGGTTATACAAACATCTACGCAGCACATTACCTAAGGAAACGAAAAGACAAAGCATACAAAACCGTTTAAATAAATAAATGTGATTCAAAAAAGCCACATAAGCCAGGTAATTCAAAGTTAAAATACAGGCTGAATTAACTTTGAATTGTATCTTTTTAGGTCTTTTGTGTTCTTTCAGTCACGCAGTGTTAAACATTTTGTGGGAAGGGTGCTAGTTCTCTTATAAACACGAATTGATACTGAGGTGTATTGCCTGAGATGAAAGATTAGATTTCAGACTACTTCACTAGCAGGATTTTAAGTATGTGAAACGCTTAGCTTTGGGTCTTAACTTGCCTGATAATTTAAAAAACAAAACTGAACTCTAGGCTCAAGTCTGAATCAATAGCTATGGATGGAGAGTAACTTGGCAAATTCTTGCTGGGCTCAACAATGTGAAGAGACAGAAGAGTGCTACCACCTTGGGCTATTTCTTATTAGGACTTCTAAATTATTTCTGGATTTGTTGACTTATGTTTTAGAAAAGTGTTTCCTAAGGCTAAGCAAGTTATTTGCTGAGAAAATTCTACCGGGTAGGTGAGCTCTTTCATTAAAAAAACAAACAACCCACTCAAGCCAACCTGCATATTCATTCATTCAAAGGGTTGTAATGGCTTTGAAGATGGTATTTCCACTAGAAGGCCATTATTTACTATGCAGCAACATGTAGCCAATTAGTCTGGAAGGTTTCTTTGCTTCAAAACCATCCTTTTATTCATTCTCTATGACCAGACAAGTTTTTTATAAATCTCTTCTCTTTTATAATGTAATTATGTAAATTAAATCGACATAAGATGAAATAAAATATACTATGTACAGATTACACTTATGTATTAGCCTGGACCCAACTGTCTAGAATCAACCGAAATCCACAGTGTGCAAAGGGACATGATGGGCCCTGAGTGTTTTTAAGTAAAATTGGGTACCCTGACTTAGATGCCTTTCAAAAGCCTAAAACAGCTTGTTTTTTGAAATCTACAAGTGCAAATTAAATGGTAAAAATGATAAATTATCCTTTAAAACACTGAAAATATCATAATTTAAAAGTTATCAGTTTAAAAAATTCAATCCTAAATTGAGGCCTTATATGATATGATTTTAATCTAGATTTTCCCCCCAAAGAATTTAAAATCTAGATGTTAAGTTTTAAATTGGGTTTAAAAAATAAACATGTATACAATGTTTTCATAGTAACTTTCTGAACATCATAACAATAATAACGGAACTTAAATGTTCAAGTAATCCTTTTAAAATCTTAGATTTATTTTAGGCATAATTTTAATATACAGACCAGATTTTTTTGACTTCTTTGCTTTTAGGTGTATCTCCTATCAACTGAATTTCTAGCTTTTTCTTTACATGCAGAAATAATTCAGCTTTAACCAGCCACTGAAGGGAATTCAGGAAGAAATTCAAAGAATGAAAATTGGTTGTCACAATCCAATCTATGCTGCAATGAAATATGTACATTTTTAAAGTGGCCTATGACAATTCTCAGATGATACTTGCTTAGCATGGCATATCTATCTGGTAGCCGAACCTGTAGCATTTAGTGTATGAAATATTGTAGTTTAGAAAGAGGTCTATACAACATTATTATGGCTCTATTACAATGACACAAAGCTTGCTGCAATAATAGTTCAAATAATACCAAAGCATGGCAAGCTAGTGAGATGTACAACTCTTCATGCATGGATTTACACTTTCAATTGCTGGGAACATTTAAACATAAAATCCTACAGTTGAAATTTACAAAGTGTTGAATGGTCCAGTCTAAAGCCCAACTGTCAAGGGCTAATTTGCTAATAGCATAATAATTGAACCTTTTGTCAAGTTCTGCAATCTTCTGCAACTATTCAATTAGGGGTCTATTTGAATGTTACAATTGTATGTTTTAACTGTTTAAAACTATGAATAAAAAGATTATGAAGCAAGGTAGGAAAAACTAAAGAAATTAGGTAAATTTAGTCTGGAAAATAGACACCTGGACTGACAGAACAGTTTTCAAGTGTATTAAAGGATAACATATAGAAGATCATGACCATTTTCTACTGGGAGAGAGGAAATGTAGCTGAGAGGAAGCAGAAGGCTTATAAAGTGCACAAGAAACTTCTGTAAGGTAAAGATTGGACATGCAAAAAACAAAGTGCCATAGCTCATTCTCTGGAGCAAGGGTATGGACATAAGACCAAGGCTAGTTTAAATGGACAAATAGCTAGATGGCCCAGCCCTCCCAATCCTTTGGACTTTGTTTTATTGTTTTTTGATGTCTGATGGACTCATTAGCTTCCACTAGCCCAATTCTAATTTTTAAGGAATTATTTTCTTCAGTGAATTTTTGTGCCTCTTTTACCATTAGGCCAATTTTGTTTTTTAAGGTGTTATTTTCTTCAGTATGTTTTTGTGCCTTTTCTACTAAGCTGCTAATTCTCTTTTCATAATTTTCTTGCATCGCTCTCATTTCTTTTCCTCTACCACTTTTATCTCTGTCATTAACTCTTTCAGGAATTCTTCTTGGGCTTAGACCCAATTAACATTTTCCTTTGAGGATTTGCTTGTATTTGTTTTCACACTGTCACCTTCTTTTGAGTTTATGTCTTGGTCTTCCCTGCCACCATAGCAACATTTTATGGTCAAATTCTTTGATGTTGTTGTTATTGTTATTTGCTCATTTCTCCTGCCTATTTCTTGACTTTGAACTTTATGTTAAAATTGGGCTCCACTCACTGGGGGGGGGGGAGGTAGGGGAATGAGGAGGACTGTCCCAAATTTCAGGCTTTTTCAAGCTGCCATTTTCAGAAATATTTCTGGGGGTCTGCAAATTCATGGTGCTTCCAATGTGATGTGATTCAGAGAGAGCTATGGTCATTGCTCTCCTGCTCTATGCTCTACCCAGGAAGGGCTCCTGTTCCCCTGCAGCCACAAATGCTAATGTGCTCTCTTTGTGCTGGTATTGTGACCAGGGTTCCTGCTCCCTTGTAACCCCTCTCCTCACTTGAACTGTGACCCAGAACTGCTTATGGGTAGTAGAACTGCCAATCGGTGCCAACTGTACCCAGGGTCAGCAAAGGGTCCCCCTGACCAATTGTTCGACCCCTTTACCCTTTTGTGGGCTGAGGGTTCCTGAAGCTGCTGCTGCTGCTGCTGTAGCCACTGTTATTGCAACAATGTGTGTGGGCTCTTGACAGGCTTCCACCGTGGTGTCACAAACTTCTCCTGCCAACCTTTTAAGTTTTCTTAGGTTGGAAAAATTTCTCACCTTGATCTCTTGTTGGCTCTGCCATTCCAAAATTTGATTTGAGGTGTTATTTTAAAATTGTTTGGAAGGGAATGTTGGGTCAGCTAGGTTGCTTCTAATTTGCCATCTTGGCCTGGCCCTCCCAGTCCTATCATTTCCTAATTTTTTATTTTATGTATTTGCTTAATTTTGAATATCTGCTTAACAGCCCTGTTTTGGTTCTTTCAGATAAGTACCTCAACCAGTGATTTACCAGTTTTACTTCTTTATCAAGCATATCCACAAAGGGGACATTCAAGGTAGTTTTGGCTAAAATTCACATAGCGCAAGACTGGGATCTTAAGTATGGTCCATTCCAAAATGATTCTTGTGTTTTCATTCTAGCTAGAAATATCATATAGCTCTTAAGTCTATTAAGCCATAAATTAGCATTCTATAAGAGTAAATTTGGAAAAATTTAAAAATAATACTTCTTGTTCCATTTTAAGATCACTCCCACTCATGTATATGCACATGCTTACATATATTAATCAAATGTTTCCTATATCAATTCTTGATGCCTTCAGGATCAATTGGAGTTTTATAGAGCAAGTAGATGAACAGAAAGGAATCAGCTTTACAAAACCCACTTGCCACACAAAGCTTTTCCTTGTAGCCTTCCTATATACTATGCCCATTCTTTGTCTCAATATTGTTTTCCAAAATGACAAAATTGTGTTTTCTTACCCTAAAAGGAGATTGTTTTGGAATGGAATGGAAACAAATGTTTGATAGAATTGAGCTCATTAAACATACTAACAAAAAACACAAGTTTTTATATCAACATGGAATCATTACAAAAAAAATCTCTTTATACCAATAATCCACTTTCAACTTTACTAAAAATAATTTTGTCTTAAGTCTGCAATGTAAAGTTTTAATGCGCGGAAATGAAACCTTTTTAAGAAATCATGGTAGCATGTAATGGACTGATTTTTTTCTTTTGGCCTCAAATTAGCCACATTTTCCAGCTTACAAATAGAGAAAATTAACTTTGGACATATTTGCCCTTATCTTTTGATGCCTGCTCACCTCTTAGCTTTTACTCTGCTAAAACAATGAGGAAATCTGATCTTGTGCTTGCCCACTGTGACTGAATTTCATCCAACCAAGCAGCATATAGAATATCCTTGTCATTATTTATGTAATATTGGCACAATCCCTTATTTACAGTGTCAGTCTACTGTCTACTCATAAACCATCCATTAAAAAGGAAAGGAAAATTATTTTCCTCATAAATAATTAACCCTTTCCCAAAAACAATGAAACTAAAACTTTCAACCATTGATTTTTGGTATGCTAGTTGAACTTTAGTTAGGGGTGCTATTTTGGAATTGAGTTACTTATTATTAGATCTTTAAAGTTTCTTTACTACTGTTCAGTGAACTACATTCTATTATTTTCATTATAAGGCTTTTTGTTTGTAAAAAGATCAAACTACTTTTTAAGGTCCAATGTTTTTGATGTCAGTTAAACATTAGAATTTGGAAACATATATTTTAGCCTACTGCTCTGCAGCAGTAGCAGAGCCACAATGAAGACAGTTAAAATGAAATTGCTTCACTAAGAATTACAAACATATTTAAGCAATTAAGTAGTCTGAAACAAATTAATGACTATTTAACAAAACCATTTTTCAGAATTATTTTACTGATAAGATGCTTTATCATAAAAAGCATTTTCTACCTTTTTCCATCAGACTGCTAGAGAAGTAAAGGGAAAAAAATACAGCTGTTATAATAGGCTTTTGTTAAATGAATAATGTAGTAAGGTTTTTTTCATCTGGTATATAAACTTTATTCACATCATTTGATTGCACGAAGTGTTAAAAAGTTGGAAAACTTACAAAGAATTAGCCCCCAGATGAAGCATGGTAGAATATGGACTAATTCCTATCACGGCAGGAAAAGAAGGATCAGGTGGAGCTCAGCTGTTCTTTCCTCACCATTAAACATACTTCATATTGGATAAAGGTTTGAATATTTTATCCATTATTTAAAAGAATTCCCTGAAACATCTCTGAGGGATGTATCTAAATCCTGAAGAACAAAGGAAAATTTTTTCAAATCGTTTCATTACATAGACGATTACCACTAGAAAAATCAAGTTCATCACATGTAAGCAGAAATTTGAGAAAAGTCTATGAAGTCCAACTAAAGAGAAATGTCAAAATAAGGAAGCCTGGGGTACCATTTTTGCAAGCATCAGTGCCAAAAAGTAGACAAAGGGCTCAATGTCAAGAACCCAAACATGGTGCAAGTATTCCATTTCCAGGACGTGAGCTCATAGCAGCTAGAATATGTAAGAAGGAAATGAGCATGCAAGGCAAGATGTCAGGCTGGCTGTCTCTGGCTAAATGGAGAAGCATGTGGAGAAGGTTCCATAACTGAGGCAGTGCAGTTCAGGAGGCAGATCCCTGAACCAACCTTTTGGGAATCACTTAGCTAATGTATATAAAGCCCTGGGACCACTTGGAGAAATAAAAGGTATTAGATTATTATTGTTCACACACATTGAGTTATCAAAAGAATTGTGCTTAGAAAGAAAGGCATCCCTCATTTGAGAGAAGGTGCTCTAATTTCTGAGAAAGCATATGTTGAGGCTGCTTAGATATGTTTCAGAAGAAGTGAAAGAGGTGAGGGAAGCTTCAGAAATAAGAAGAGCCCAAAGAATGGGACACAGACATGCTATGGCAGAAAAAGGCATCCAGTACATCACATATGCTAGTTATATATCAGCAGTTCATATGGAGAGTGGGCAAAAGTACTTAATGGGGGAGGAGACATGTGAAAGGTAAAGCAAAGAAAGAGATGACTTGAAAGGAGAGAAGTTCGGCCTCAATCAGCTTAAGACAGGCAGGTGTGGCAGCAATCCTTCCTGCCACAGGCATTTGGCATGCTGACGGAATAATTTTTCCACACAGTGCTTTAGGTCTTAGGAAGATGAATCATTTTCTGATGAAGCCATGCGGCTTTGTTTGGGAACTAACTACACAAGACACTACAGGTCCGTAACTAAAAATTACTTTTAAAATCCATTTTTAAACCAGGAAATAGAACCTCTTTTAGGTCAGACTGCTCAATGAAGGGATGAGAGAACAAGCTACCTACTTAAAAATTACATCACAGTGTTAGCTCTTCATGCTTTCTGGTAAAAATGTACTCCTTACATAACACATTACTAACATGACTGAATATGGAAAGAGTACAGATACAAATAGGAAAATAAAGTGGAAAAATGGCTGACATTTGTGTTTTCTTATGTTTTTGTTCAATGCTCTATTTTAAGAACTTTCAAAATTAATACTCTAATTATGGTTTCTTAAAATGCTTGGAAGGAAATGTATTCAGATTTGGAAGGTTAAAAAGAATTGCATTTTAAATTAAGTTTTGTGGTTCCCTCTTTAGAGCCCTTTGAGGCAAGGTTTTTGCACTCTCCGTAATAACCTTAGAGAAAAAAATGAGACAAGGTAGCAGTTTCAGGCTGGCTGTAACATGCAAAGTTCACTGTCACACAATCTGATCAGCCCAACTGATGCGGAAGAAATTAACCAGTATCAACCGTGTGGGAGGACACACCTGTGTCCGTGCCAGAAATACGGGGTATCCTGCGGCCTTCAGACTATTGCACATTCCAACAGAACACAAGAGGGATGTTCAAAAGATACACTCAGGAATGGATAAACATACAGACTAGCTTGTGCACAGAAATCAAACATGGATACAAGACACCACTGCAGTCAAACCTGTCTTAGAGTCTGCTTCTGATTTTAGTGACCTTTTAGAAAATGGTCCAAACTGATTATCAGAAATACATTAAAAAAAAATATTTTGAGACCACCTCTTCTTGATACGCATATATAGAATTCTGTGGTCATAACAGACAGACTTAACTTTAGTGAGACTAAATAAAAGTGCAAAAACATAAAAAAACAAACTTAAAAAATATGGAAGCATAAGCTAAAAAATTTCTGCATAGCTGAAATCTATTTAAAGCAAGTTCTTGGTAGGGGGAGCTGACAGGAGGATAACGTTTTTGTTTTCTTTTTAATGTCTTCTGCATGTTTGTTTTAAATGATGAAAAAAAAAGTCCTTTTCTGGGTAGGCTTGTGAGACATTTCACAGACAGTTCATTCCTGTATCTTGAGACACCCTGGTTGTGGCAGTGCCCCCTTCTGCAAGGTAAACAGCAGTGCTAGATTTGGAATGAGCAGCCCTGTCACTACCGTTGTTGTTGACCTCACAGTCCAGTGGTTCCGTGGAGATGACCCAGGTGGAAGGGCGCCACCGCTTAAGGGAATAGGGGGTTTTCACACGTTTCTTGATCTTTTCACCTGATCCTGGCTTGCCATCTTGTGATGACTCACCTACTGAAAACAGAAGAGCAAAAAAAGTGTTATTTGGAAAAAACTGCCCATAGTGGTTTGGTTAATTTATATAGAGATAATGGGGTATGATAAAATAGCCATCAAGGCAAATAACAGTGGCAGGTATTGATGGAGTATATCTTGAAATCCACTATTAGTCATTTTGTGGGCAAAGCCTATCTTCAATCATTTGGAGGCTTGTTTATCCTGATTTTTCCTCCCTCACAGCTCATACTCAGGAAATTCAGCTCTAGGTTAATTACCTGTAAAATAACTCTTAATGAGTTATGAATACAAAATCGTTCTGCAGGATAGAGATAGAAGCACAAACGTAAATTTAGTCGAAAACTGAAGCCCTTGAGAAATTCTCATATGCTTTGCTGCTTCTAAGTGCAATTCTAAAGTTCTGGAAAATTAGGCAAAAATAGAAGAGTTCTATGCCCCTTAATAGTCAACTCAAGGTGGACCAAGTTTAAATAGTACTTAGTATACTGCATAATTCAGAGAAACAGTGGACCTATCAAAATGTTATTTTTCAATGGTTTTCTTCTTAAGAACTGATCAGTTGGGTCATATTGTATTGCCTTCCTGTCTGAGGTAGCTGTCACTCAATGCGAGGGCCTTTTCCATTTGGACACTCTGGGACAGTTTTTGAAGAATGTGGCCAGGTGCTTCTGACCTAAGTCTTGAATATGCCTCTCTTCTACTTGTGCTGCAGTTCTCCTAAGATATTCACAAATCTTGAATATATTGTCTGCTTCCTTGTATGCAGTATCCTCTGTCAGTAATGTCAAGAAAGCATTTTCATTTTTACTCCTAACTAAAACGGAAATAAATTCCTTGTATGAACAAAAGAAAGTATTTTCACCCTTCTACATGCTCAAAGGATTAATTCACGCTAGACAACTATCCTTTTGCCTTTTCTAATGATGCAGACAAAGCTGCTCCTTCATTAGATGGCCAATTCTTTCCAATAGTTTTGTTGGCACAAGAAGCTGACATCAAAGAATCAGCAAAAAAGTGCCCATTTAGGGGTAAATGTGATTGAACTTAGCGAGCTCTTGTTTTGGATGATTAACTCCTATAGGTCAGAGATCATGTACCGATTTAACTTGAGTTGAACAGTGCCTAGACAATGCCAGGAGCCTCCAGGGACCTGTCAATACAAGCTTCTAGATGATGAGGCAGTAAGAAAGGAGGATGAGGTACCACAGTCTCTGGTGACTGTTCTGAATTTTCCTTATGACTGGAAATTTACTAGTTTTTTGGATAAAATCCCCGAAGTAACTCATTATATTCTTAAGATAGCTACAATTGGTAGTATTGTGTGTTTTAAACTAATTAAAATGCTAGAAGAACTCATAAAAGGATAACTTCACCTTATTCCTCGAGGAACTAGCTTGTCTTTTGCAATTGATAGATATTACTTAGTTCCTACAATTTATAAACATAAATATAAGTGTTGCCTAGTAAAGGTACAGCCAAGTCTGTCGTATATTAGATCTATAACTATTTAAATAATAACAATTGGCGATTACGTAGCACTTTAGAAACATTAACTTGTTTTATCTTTACAACCCTAGGAGGTGAGTGCTTGAGGAAGCTGAGACAGACAGAGGTTAAGCGACTCGCCCCAGGATCATAGAGCTTGTTGGAATCTGAGACCAGGCTTGTATCCAGGTCTTTCTCACGCCCAGTCCAGCACTCTACTTTATTGTGTCACATAGCTGCCTACGTTAAATAATATAATATTAATTGATGGTGACACAGAAAAAAATTAATATTTTTGGCTTCAAATATAACTTTATTACTTCTCAGGGCTCCACAGTTTTCTCATTTATTTTTGAAAGTGGTGAACCAACTTGCTGAGATGCAATTTGATGATAGCTGAGTGGTTACCTGCACAGAGAGACTGGTTACACAAAGCCTTCACTTACACTGTATACTACTGCTGTCCAGAGCACTAGTGGCTGACAGGTCCAAAGAATTAGGCCTCTGTGCCCTTCTGGGCTTTGACTGCCCAGGATCTGTGCCTGAGCTCTGAAGGCCAACATTAAGAACCTCTTGGCCAGGACACGGATTACTGTTGTTGTTATTGGAGTTTGTCCGACCACCTTCCAGAGGGCGATCTCTCCTGTCCACCAGACGATCCAGGACGCCTTCATCATGGCCAGCCTGCTGCTCCCGTCTCAGGAGAGGCTCGTGTTCATCAGGGCTGGAGTTGATAGTCAGACGGCTGTCCTCGCCACTGAACTGATTCTGTAGTATTTCCTGGGCCCTGTGTGCCACTGAGTTGGGTGCCTGACCAGATGGCACTACACCATTGGCATATGGGGCTGTAGCAACATGTGAGTTCACGTTGTGGCTTCTGCCTGCCACTCCATTCATGGTGACTGTCACTACATGAGGTTCTGCAGCATTGATTGTATTCATCTTGGCAACTCCAGTTTCCACTTGCTTCAAGTTTGATTTGTGCTTGCTGCCAAATTTCAGCCGGGGTTCTTTTGTGGAGTTTTTGGTGTTCAAGGGTAGGCTAGTAGGTCTCTTCGGAAGGTTTTGTTGCTTGGGGAGAGGATAGACCTGAGCAGGTGGGACGTCAGGAATTAAACACACCTGACCATTACCAGTCTGTGTGAAGTCCTGCTGTCCGGTTACTTCCACTGCAAGTTTTATCAGTGGGTAAAGCAAGCTGGAGCTGGTGCTGCTCAGGGGGTCTGGTCCACTGAACTGTTTAAGGGAGTGCTCCATTAGGTTCTCATCAGAGCTCTCCTTCAGATTTTTATCAACTTCTTTTGGGTCCAACTTGTTGGTCTCCAAGTCTTCTTCGGTTAGCTGTAGGCAGACAGGGGTTGGCCCAACTGGCTGAGTCACATTCGTGGTGTGGAGACTTGTTTCATCTGAGTAGGGCATCTCCGAGATGGTGGTCATGCCGGTGCTAGGAGTAAGGCCGGTGGTGTTTGTGGTGGTGGTGTTCGTGGACAGGCTGGTGACGCTGGTTTCAGGACTGGGAATCCGAGCCTGTGCTTGCTGTCGCTCATAGTTAATTGAATTTCGGTTCTTTTCACCTCCAGTTAAAGGCGTGCTGCTGGACACTGAGTGTTCCAAGGAAATGTTCTTCACGATGCTGTCAGGGTGGTGAATGGAGTCTTCTATGTATGAAGAAGAAGAATAATCTGGATAAGGGCCAATCTTTGGCACACGCCTGTTGTGTGATAGGTTGCTTAAAGAAAGAAAACAAGTGTCACATTGAGAGGCCATTTATGACAAACTATCTCCACATGTAACATCTCTGATTTAAAATCTGAGCTACTTTAATTTTGGTTCATAATCCATTTTATTCTGGGTGTTTCATGACTTAGAAAATTCACATTAACTAACTTGAATATCAAAATGTCCCACTTCATTAAACAAAAGTGGTAACAATCATCTATTGATGCCGTTTTCATAAAAACACAGGATTACTGAAAAAGGTCTGTGGAAACAGACCAACCTGAGGAGACTTTTCAGACACATCCTTTCTCTTTTTTTATTTCCTAAATATATGCAAGTATCAATTTAACCTTTCTTTGCATAAACAGCAGCATGACAGTCATAAAACCTTACCAATCAAAAAACAGTACTTTAAAACAATACTATAACAACCATTTAACAAACAGCCACAATTAGATTGCAAATTCCTTGCAGATAAAAGCAATCACACTTTTGAACCTCTATACCACCTACTAGAATGCTATGCACAAACTAGCTGTTCAAGAAATATTAGATTAAGGGCCAAAGCATCTATACTAATAGGCAGAAGCTGACCATCAGTATGCTTGATCTCTATCTTCACACTCCAGAAAGGTCTCAGAGAGCCACAAAAGTTTTAGGGGAGAGCTGGACACTGGTATCAACTAGCCTAAGGAACCAGGGTCCCCTGTGCGGCCATTTGGAGGTGCCTGTGAGGCCTCTGAATCTTTGAAAGGAAAGTCCAAGGAAATGGTGAGGTTCTGACTCAATTGTTAATGACCCCAAACTGACCAAGATGGTTGTAATGTCTTTAGAACTAGGATTACACCTAAGAAGGTATGAAGCGTGAGCCAAATCATGCTGTGTGAACCATCTGAGCCCACAACACACCTTTGCATTAATATATAGGTGATATTTAAAAAGAACATTACAGGCAACACTGATCACAGAATCAACAATGTAATCATCAATAACAGCAGGTGGTAGGTAGAGGCGTCAGAGGGAAGAGGGCATCTCGAAAGGGCAATAAGTACTGAGAGAATCACCAAGACTGACAGAAAGGAGATGCTACAGAACAGAAGCACAAGGAAGGGAGGAAGAGAAAAGAGAGTACGCTGGATAGCTGTGGGAACCAGCGAGGAGATGACAGCAGAATGAATCTCCCTGGGGAGATTTGCCTCTTCTGAACCAGTCTTGGGACCTGAGACCTTTTGCAACCTGTTACTTACTCGTCATGGGAGCCCAGTGGCCACCAAGACCATGTTAACATGAGGAAAAACAGCAGAGAACAGCCAGTCTGGGGAGAGCCAATCATAGCACTTTATTTCACAGGTTTGCTCTCAGAACTTAAATATGCTGGGGAATGGAAAAGATAACTGTACAAGCGTCAAACTTACTCCTCTCCCAAGAATCCCAGCAGGGAATAGAGTCAGGCCCTCTGTAAGTTCTAGTAGCTCTTTTCTGGGTGCCTTTAAAGACGCTTGATGTGAACTACCTGACAGTGATTTGTAGTGGGGAATAACTGTGCAGTAAGAAATGAATATCACAAACTAAGAGAATCAAGAAAAATTTATATGGATTGAAGCAGAATGGTCTGATGGACAGAGTGCTGGACTTGCAATCAAGAAAATCCAGGTTTAAATCTTGCCTCAGACACTTACTTACTCTTTAAGACTGGGTAAGTCATCCGACTTCTTTTGGCTCATAAAATGAAGATGGTAATAACAGCACCAAACTCACTCACAGGGTTGTTATTAGGACACATGAGAGCATCTATGTAAGTCCTCTGCCAGCCGTGCAGTGCTATATACTTACAAATAGTAGCTTGTTTATCTTTACAACAACCCTGGGAGGTGGGGGCTATTATTATCCCCATTTTACAAACGAGAAAATTGAGATTGATGGAGGTTGAGTGACTTCCCTAAGGTCACAAATCTAGTGAATGTCAGAGGCAGGATCTGGCAGGATCTGAATGCAGATCTTCTTGACTCCAAGTCCAGAGTTCTTAACACACTGCACCATAAACAACACTGTAAATGAAAAGATCACTAAAAGGAAGTCAAACTCTGAGTAAATGAAAAACCAGTGAAGGTCCCAGAGAATAGATAATGAAATGTATATCTCCTCTCAAGGAAATTATGTAACTTAGAAAGACATCTTTTCTTTCTCTCCTTTAGATATAAAGGTAGGTATTCCTCTAAACTCATTAAGAAAAACAAAAACCTTCACTGGGAAAATGGCAATACTGGTTTGACATTTAAGAACTTACCTCCTATTCCACTTCTTTTTCCTACTGAAGCACTCAGTGACTTATGCCCAAACTAATCCCACACTGTTCTTACCGTTCATTCTGCATAGCAGTAGACATTGGATTGACTGTTGGACTGACTGATTTGTTCCTTTCCCAAATCATCATGAGTTCAGCCATCCTCTCCTCAGCACACTGAGCAGTTAGCCTAGCCTCTGCATCCTGGTCCCAACAGTCCTCGATTGTCTCCTTTAGTGATCTTACAGCCTAGGACAAAAACTTTATGTCAAACAATTTGAATCTTAAACTTCAACTTAAAAAGTCAATGATTAAATTCAACTTAAAATGAGTAATTAAGCAACTACTATATGTAGGGTACTCTTAATATGTGTTCTAGGTCCCATGTGACAAGTAAAAATTAACAAGTCAATTAAAAGTTAGCAAACTCATGAGATCTTTCCAGATGCATCCATCTCATTTTGTTTATTCCAAACAGATTATTAGGGTTCTTACTTACACTTGGATTTGTTCACAAATTCGACATCAAAAGCATAAGACAGCTGATGAACTGAAAAATATCTTATTTGTTTTGACTGAAAGCTCAATATGAAACAGCAGTATGATAAGGATATTCTAAAAAGTAATGTAATCTTAGGTTAGCTACCTAGCTACCTGCTTGTCTCAGAAAGGCACAAAAGTCATATGTAAGTTAGGGAGTGCCTTTATGTATAAAATTATGTATGTACATACATATACTACCATATAATATACAGATGGAGCTGATTTCTGATTAGCTTCTTGTCATGAATATCCCCCAAAGTGACTAATCCACAAATTCAAATTTTCAGGCTGGTTTCTTCTTGCCATGAAATTTGAAGAAACTGAAGGCTATGATTTGGCTATGGATGGGTGGGAAGGATTGTGGAGTGATTAGGAAGAATTAGTTCAGAAGAAGAAAAAAATGTGGGTAGAATATTGTGAGGAAGTGAATTTGGTTGGAATGGAGAAATAAAATCAGTGAAGAACCAAGGAAACCAAGAAAAAGATAAAGTCAGCAGATAACTGCGTAGATTCAACAATGTGGTTTAACAGTAGGGTGAATGGGAAAACAAAGGAAAGAAATGAGGTAAAGATGACTTTGAGCTTTTGAGCACTGGAAGCTAAATAACATACCCCCTCCCCCAACAGTTCCTATTTAGCTCTTTATCTTGAGATGATGAGAGTTTGCAAAGTACTGTCCTCACAACCTTGCAAGACAGGTTGAATTTTTATTATTATCCCCATCCTGAGATGTGGTAACTATTAGGTTCAGAGAAGTTATGTGATTTGCCCAAGGCCACATACCTGGTAAGGGTCAGAGTCAGGACTAAATCTAGGGTTTTCCCGATTCTAAGTTTATTGCTTTTCTTATTGCACCATGGTGCCTTTCTAAAAGGATTGTGATGTCATCAACAGTAATGGAGAAAGATAGGAAATCATTATTAGAAAGAAGGATAAGGTAGAGATTCCTGCTTTCCCATGTTATTTAAGATGGCAGGTTAACACCGATGGTATTTCCTTAAGGAAGCAAAAGAAACAAATTTAGAGAGAAAGAAGATTGGTCTAGGTGAGAAAGAAATCTCAGAATTATTTATATACAAATAATATTCTTTTTGTGTTTAATTGATAAAACTGGGCACAGTGCTATGTGGGGGCTAGTGCTGAATTCTGGAGTGACCCCACAGGTCTTTCAGTAAAGAGAAACCCGTAGAGCTGATGGTACTAAGAGTGACTGGATAGAAAGGAAGAAGACTATGAAATGATAATGTCAGAGAAACCAAGCCAGAGTATAACTAAAAACCTATGAAGTTGAAACCAGAGTGGAGACTTCTTTTGTTTGGCCAAGGAGATCATGGGTTAAATGCTTATGACTGAAACTAGATGATAAGGGGATTTAAAAGGAAGTAGAAGGAAAGGAAAGAGCTGCTGTATCCAATGATGTCAATAATAAAGGGAAGAAGATGTGGACCAAGAATAGTTTTGGAGTAACCAAGGCATTAGAGGAAAAGGGAAGAAAAGGAGTAACAGAGTGGCAAGGGAGAAAGAGAAATTTATGGTGGGAGTTGTGCAGAGAACTTATGCCTGAGGGTTGAAATTCATTTAAAAAAAAAAAAGCTATGTCAAGCATATTGGGTAGTGGAAGGGGTGTGGTCTTGGAGTCAGGAAGAACCAGGTTCAAATGTTTCACCTGACACACTGGGCAGTATGACCATAAGTAAATCACTTAACCTCCCAATGCTCATCAGACAACCTTTAAAACTCTAATTTACAGGTGATATCTGAGATCTGTACCTATACTAGGATTTCCCTACACTGATGACTTCATTTGACTAAACCTCTGATTTTTTTTTTAAAGAAAACCTACAGTCAATACATTTATATTAAAATCTCAATTATTTAAAAGCTGGTTTCTAATTTTTTTTTTGTACTACTTTGGGCTCTCCCTGACTCTAAAAGTGGACTTTTACTACAAGGAGGCAGTTCTGTGGACTGATCAACTATTTCTTTTTTTTTTTCTTTTTTAAAGCAATTGGGGTTAAGTGACTTGCCCAGGGTTACACAGCTAGTAAGTGTCAGGTGTTTGGTCTGAGGCCACATTTGAACTCAGGTCTTCCTGACTTCAGGGCCGGTGTTCTATCCACTGTGCCACCTAGCCGATCAACTATTTAAATGCATCATTTCGAAATAAACCAAGTTTTCCTAATCCCTTACTTGGCAACCTATTTTAAAGAGTAAAAGGCTTTCAAGAAAAAATGCATAGAAAGCATATCCCACAAAAACTTTGGGGGTGCTCAATAATACTTTTTTAAAATGCCAGAAGACTCAAAATAATGGGCTTTATTTTTCTGGTTAAGTAAATGACTTAAGTTCTAAAAACAAAAGCAGGCTTGATTGCGTGTTACAAGCCAGTAAAGGATCAGAAGACAATTTCCTAAGAATTTCTTCATGTGACAGCTTTGAGCATGATGGCACTGAAATGAAATGCTCATTTGTCAAAATCATTAGCCAAGTTTTGCTAACTTTCAACTATAAAGAAAGCAGAACTATGGAAGGATAAAGTTTTGAAAAATGGTTATATCAGAGAATGAACCCATTACAAAAAGAAAAAATTTAACAACATGCAAAATTGTCTATTAGATATTTATAATGACTTTCAGACAGATTTTTTTTAACCTAATGGTTTTCATTTTCACTAGTCTGTTCTAAGTTAAGTAATATTATTATAATAACAATTTAATCAAATAGCAGGAAGTGTCTGTGAAGAAGTTTCAATGTATAGTATTTCTTTCCATTCTTTTTTCTCTTATGGTTGCCCAACATTTCTATTAGTTTATGGACTGATGGACCTATGCTAATCTGCATGGCTGATTGATATATTTACTTTTGGTATCAAGCAAATGAAGAAATCTCAACAACCACATTTGGAAAGGCTTATTAATATGTATGATTACAGCTGTCATTCAATCTGGTTTAAAACTCTTCATGAGGCTATGGTAAATGCAGTATACATTACTCCTACGAAACCTTTCCTGTCATAATTTCTTGTTTTTTAAAAAAAGAGAAATATACAAGAACTCTCAAGCTCTAATTTTACACCAAAGAATTCAGATAGTTGTAATTATATTGAAGAAATAAAGCAATTCTGAAATCTACTGTTAAAAAGATATACTTCACATTTTGTTTAAAAGAATATGACTGTATTTTCTTGTTAGCTCTTCTTTAATAACTCAATTTTTCCTCTTACATACCAGGCTGTTTTCCTTCCAGGCTTCTGGGAATCTGGGCCTCTGCTTTTCCCTAGACACCAGGACTTGCATGTCTTCAAAAGTGGGGCGGTTCCCTACTTCTGTCTGGAAGGCCATCTGGTACTCTGGCACAGACTCACCTGCTTAAAATCAAGGTTTTAGGAAAGTAGACTGATGTAAAATGTTCAACTGTAACAACAAAACAATGTCACCGACACTTCAAGGACCCAAGCTCAAATCAGCAAGTAGGAGACAAGCACAAATAATCTGGCTACCCACGACTCTCTTCTACTTTCTAGTTCATTTTTGAAACTTTTCATTACAGTTAGGCATTTAAAAACCAGTACTGATGGGGGGAAGGGGAGAACTGTATTATTAGCAAATATTTGTACTCATTGTAGCTCTATAATATACACCAACAGAAAAAAGATAGTACTAAAAAGAAAGAATGACAAATTCTGAGGTGTGAATGTTTTTATAAATTTCCTGATTTGGGAGCATTAGCTGTGGAATAGTTCAGAAAACCTTGTGGAGGAAAAGCCTGTGATATACATAAAAGGCAGTGGATATTCCTAAATTCTGTCCCCAGCTACAGGAGGTGGGCAGAGTCAGGGAATGAATATTATGAAGTTCAAGGAGATACTGGGTGATTACTTGACAACAACTGTTGTAGAAAAAAGATTTGTGTTGTTGGGGAAGGAGGAAGGGAAGGGAATAAGCATTTCTATAGTGTTTACTATGTGCCAGGCATTGTGCTGAGTGTCTTTTTTTTTTTTAAACAAGTTTGATCCTCACCACAGTGTAGGTGTTATTATTATCTCCATTTTATAGTTGAGGAAACTGAAGCAAACAAGAAGTTAAGGGACTTGCCCAGGGTTACACAGCTAGGAAGTGTCTGAAGACTTCCTGACTGCAGGCCTAGTGCTCTATCCATTGTACCACCCAGCTTTCTTGGGCAAGGACATCACAGTCCCTGCTAAGTCAATGTGATTCTATTATTTCAGGAATTGTTTGAAGGACCAACATGTAAGGTCTCCATGTTCATTAAGTCTTTGTGCTCCCTGCAGTAGCCGCCAGTTAATATTAAAAGTTATAGGTGGCTATCAGACTAAGGAGATAAATGTATTTGTCTTTTTATTCCTCTCATACATGAAGTATCATATCCTATCCCAATGTATTTCTGCTTACCACTAGAAAACACCCACAAACAACACTGACAGAATTACTAGACATAATGACGGTGCTGCTTTTAATGATTTTTTTAAACAGGTTCATATTTTTATTCATTACCATGTGAATTACTAATTCATATGGGAAATGAAAGTAACAACAGTTGTATCACACATGTTCATGCTACATATTATAAAATACTTGGAGAACCTTTTTAGATCACTTTTTGAAAACCAATGGTTTGAACAAATGATAGGATAAAAAAAGCCTCAGTGGAGCTGGGTTCTTTTACCAGGAACACTGGGTGGCCAATTAGGAGACTAGATTCTAGCACTGATTCAGTGTATAACCATCCTATCCTTTAATTTCTCTGTTTATAAAACAAAGACAATACCTATAACTACAGAGGGATGCCTGTAGGTTAACAATGGGATGAAAAATGCTACTATTACTATTTGATCTTGTGTAAGTTCATTAAGTGAAGCTTAAAGTGTATACTTCAAAAGAAAAGGTTATGAATAGCTGTATCATATTGATGTTATGATGGGTTAATGAATAATAGTGCTATGTACGTAGATATAAGTAATTACATATAAACCTTATACCAATGTAAATTTTATATAGTTTTTCATACAACTGTTTTAACCAAAGCAGTTAATTAGATGTTTACTTTGGTGCAATATCCTATCAATGCTGAATTTACTTAAGGATTTCACATTGCCAGTTTGAATCTTTTTCTGCCATGTAACCCTGTATAATGAGTTTTAAAGCAAAAAGGAAAAAAATCATAAATTCTTTCTAGCATTACTAATTTCAATTTTTAAAAACATCTACCTAGCACTACATATTAAAATAAACCCTTGTTTATTTATTCTCTCTTCAAAGGCTTTTTATGATAAACTGATTCAGGATTAGAAGAATTAATTCAGTAAAAGGTTTCAAAATTCATTCACGTCTTTTTTTCTGTCTATAAGCTCAATATTACTAGAAAACTTGCCAAATGAAAGTGATGAATATTAGATGAGTAAAATATTAAATTTCAAAAGAGAAGTAAAAGGATTGTTAACTTTCCTCTTTATCAACCCAGTTACACCTTTGCCTCTCTGTAGCATAAGGCAGCAGAATCTTCCCTCTCTTCTGGATACTACTTCTTCTCCTGGCTTCCATGACAATGCTCTCCCCTGGTTTTTCTCCTACCATCTATATCTGATCATTCTTTTTTTTGTCACTATCCATTTCCTGGCCACAACTGTGGATTGTGTCCTGAGCTCTGTTCTTGTCTCTCTTTATGCTTTCTCCCTGGATGATATCACCTCTGGGCTCTTATGGGCTCCATTATCATTTCTATGCAGCTAACTCCCAATCTACCCAACCAGCCCTAATTTCTTACTTGAACTCCAGGCCAACAATAACTTTATTAATTCATTTACACACTCAGCTATATCTAATATATATTTATTAAACAACTCTGTAGATAAAAAGCGTGAGGGGAAGGAGGCAAGACATTTCCCTGTGGGGAATATCACATCATCCCAAAGGGTATGCAATTAACTAATCAGAGGATTGAAAGAGAGGTCCCATTCCACCTCACTGTGATAGTCAATTGTGGGGCTTATCTCCAACATATTCACACCAATACTCCTCCACTCAGGCCCTTCCCTTTGTTGTATAAGTTATCGGCCTCTCAGAGGAGTTATGATCTAAACTTAGCAACTGCACATGGACCATGAGGAAATTGCATTCCTACTCCTTTTACCCCAGATAACTTCCTAGTTATAGCAGGAACCCCTTGGAAGGCAGACTCTACACCTGTATGCAGTGACTAAAAGTATAAACCGCTTCTGCCCTCCTTTTCATTTTGGGTGAGATAATGTTGGTCATCCAGTATGAATATCTATATATATAGGTGGGTTGTAAGTATATCACTGATCTCATTATATTATCATTTCTCCCAAATTTACCCATCTTCCAAATTTCCCTATTACTATATATCAAGGGCATCACTATCCTGCCAGTCACCTAGGTTTCACAACCTGGGAGTTATATTTGACTCCTTATTCATCCTATAGCTATGATGCAAGCAGTTATCAAATTATATTGATTCTACCTCTATAATTTCTGCCTAGCTGTGCCCTCTTCTCTACTCACATGTTCATCACTCTAGTTTAGCTCTAATCACCTCTTGCTTAGACTCTTCAAACAATCTTCTCATTGATCTCTCAGCTTTTCCCCATTCCAATCCATCCACATATCTGCCAAAGTGATTTTCCTAAAGCTTATCAATGTCCTTCTCAAACCGTGGTGCCTAGAACTAAACACAATATTATAAGATGAGGTCTGATGAGGGCAGAATACAGAATACCGAATACCGAATACCTCTCTATTCCTGGAAGCTGTATCCCTCTTATGCAAGCCAATATCTCATTATCTCTTTGGGGAGCTATTCATCTGAGTTAGTGGTCCACTACAATTACAGATCTTCTTCAGAACTACTGCTTTCTAACCCAACTTCCCCACTCTTCATCTTATATAGGACTTGTGCTATATGTTTATTCCTACTGGATTTCATCTTAATTTAAAGATTCTGTTTAATGCTTTAGTTCAGTAGTTCTGAAATTATGGTCTAGAGACTCCTAGGGGTTCACAAGGTCAAAAATATTTTTACAGTAACAATAATGTGCTTTAATTTCTAATAAAGTAAATATTGACAGAATCATTCACTACATAAAAGCTCTTTGGGGAAGGGAGTCCTCAACAAATTTGAAGGATATAATTGCATTCTAAGATCAAAAAGTTTCAGAACTGAAGCTCTAGCTGGTCAAGATTCTCTTGCTATCTCTCTCAGCTATGTATACTGTTCTTACAGTACATACATATATATATGTGTGTGTGTGTGTGTGTGTGTGTGTGTGTGTGTATATATACATATATATGTATATATATATATGTATATATATATAAAATTTATAAAATAAACATGTTCTCAAAATTCTTTTCACTCATCATGAATCATGCATGTTAAAAAAAAGTTTGGAAATCACTGCCCTAGATGTTTGTAACAATTTCCTAACTGGTTTCTCAGTTCCAGTCCTTATTCTCTCCACTCTATCTTCCCAACAGCTGCCAAAATAAGCGTTCTAAGAAAATACCTGACCACATTACTCTCCTGGTCAAAAATCCCCAGTCACCCTATTGCCTCTACAATCAAACACAAAATTCTTGGCTTGTAATTGAAGACCTCATACAATCTGGCTTACGTTATTTCCTTCCAGCATTTTTACCTGTCTCAGCCAAACTGGCCTACTTGTTACTTCTAATCTCAGTCTTCCATATCCTGTTTCCACTCCAGCTCATAAGCTATCCTCCAGGTCTGAATGGCACTTACGCCTCTTGGAATCCTCAGTTTTCTTTAAGACTCAGGGGCTTCCTGATAAACAAGATGGTTTATACTCTCTGATACCTTAAGAGATATGAATCTCTTTGACAGTTAAGAAAGACGGTGATGTGACTGACTGAAAGTAATAGTCTTGACCATGTTGCCTATATAATAATAATGACAGCTAGCATTTATATCGTACTTTAAGTTTTGCAAACTGCTTTGCAAATCTTATCTATTTGGTCCTCACAAAAAAAAAAACAACTGGGAGCTAGGTGCTAATATTATCCCCATTTTACAGATGAGGAAATTGAGACAGGCAGTCTACCTGACTTGCCCAGGGTTCCATAGCTAGTAAGTATCTGAGATTAGATCTGAACTCAGATCTCCCTGACTCCAGGGCCAGTACTCTATCCATTATATTCCTTAGTTACTCCCCACTGTCCCCCTTCATATTTATATCAATAAAATAACAGTCATCTGTGAATCTATCTAGTTGAGCGGTGTCTAGCCCAGTGGGGGAAGATTTCAATTCTAGATTTGAACATTGCAAGTCAAGTCTTCCTTAACTTCCTTTCTCCACTCCCCAAAATAATCAGCAGTATCATTTATCTATCCTTCCCACCTCCCAGAGAAAGAATTATCCCTGTTCTCTCTGTTCCTGTTCCTTCAAAGCTCAGCTTATTCCATTTCCTACATGAAGCTTTCCCTGGCCTATCTAGCAGCAAGCTCTTCCCCTTCCTCTCTGAAAAATCATAATGTATTTGTGGAGGTGAGGAAAGCGCAGTGTGTATACGCAACCCACTGATTAGTCTAGTTTGGCTGGAAAGTACAGGGATAGAGAGAAAGAGGGATCAACGCATGATGTGAATTTTTCTTCACATATACTCATTCCCTAAGGGACTTTATTTAATCATATGCCACCTATAGGCAGATAACTCAAATAGTCATCTATTTCCCAGGCCCAAGTCTTTTATTTTCTTTCTAGTCAGATATCTCTAGCAGTCTAAAGGAAATTGCAGGTACTCTCCAAAATATAAACACCTGACCCATGCATAGGATTCTTTATGGATCCCTGTCAATAACATCATGCTGGGGGCATGGCTTTCAAATAAAGACAACCACTTGGAGTTTTAAAAAATCTGTGAAGAATAGCTTGGGTAAGTTGACCCTACAGGCTGACTCCCAGGCAGGAACCTGTGAAGATGGCTTCCTTTATCTTTTCTGATACTACCTGAAAAAGTTATTTTTAGAGGCAGCTAGGTGGTGCAATGGAAAGTGCTCCAGCCTTGGAATCAGGAGGACCTGACTGTCAAATTCGGCCTCAGACACTTGACACTTACTAGTTGTGTGATCATTTAACCCTGATCACCTCACCAGAAAGCAAAAAAACAAAACAAAACTATTTTTATAACATTGCTCCTATGGAACTTACTGTAACTTCTTTTGCCAAACACCATACTTCTGAAAAGCAATTAATGGCATCATACAGAGTGTGCCTATAAGTGGCAAATGTTGATTTGATAATTGAACCCAAAGTTGACTCAAGTATAATCACTCTGGAATGAGATGCACAAAACGTGGAGCCTCTTGCTAGGACCTTTAAACTGAGTACACATACTGCGCTGCCATTTACTTGGCAAGCTCGCTTGATTGCAGTGATCAATCTCAATCCCAGAGGAACAAAAAGAACAGCACCATCTTCCTCTTCTCAGGAGAAGGTGGGAGGACAACGGGTGTGGAATGTTGCCTATCTCAGGCACAGAGGCTGTGTCAACCAGGTTTTGATAAAAATTTTCTTCATAACAAAGAGGATTCAACTGGGAAGGGGCATATGTTGGGAAATTATTTTCATAATGCAAAATATAAAATTAAAAAAGAACTGCTTAATTCAATCTAAACGCAAATTTTATTTCATTGCTTAGACTTACAAAAAACCCTGTTGTCAAATGCCTCAAAATTCTAAAAGCCTTGCCTATGGTTGGTTTAGTCATATCTTCTGTTCCCTAAATGCTATTTTAGTAAATTCCTAAGAGGCAGAACGAGACTCTGACATAGCGGCAGTCAAAATGAGGTGTGTAATAGGGGTTTAATTTCTGATGAGGTTTTTTGAGATGCAGTTCAAATGTCACTCCCTGCAGAAAAATTTTTCTTCCTCCAGCCTCACTTCACTCTGAGAGCACTTTGTGCCTTTTATACGTACACTGAATCTTTATGTTCTAGGCACTCGTGTACATGTCTCATTTCCCCTACTAGATTTGAACTCCCTTTAGCCTTTAATACAGTGTTGTGCACAAAGTAGCCAGTCAATATATATTTGCTGAATACCTGAATGATGAAAAGAATAAATTTGCCAAGAGCGAAACAACTCCAACCTCTCTTGGCCACCTCAAGCTAAGTACCTCAAAAGGACAGAGGTTTTATCAGACCAGCACTGGCAGATAATTCCAAGAATGAGCATTCTCAATGGAAAACACATTGTTTTTAATTTCCTGTTTGATAAATTCAGAAAATGTTAGTATAAATATACCAGCAGTTTATCTTAAATACTGGAAAGGTTCACAAGAGAAGTGATTAACTCTATGTTGATAGGTGCCCAAGCCAGAGAGGATACAATAGCCATTGGGCAATTATTGACTTTTCATTCAGAAGCCAACTAACTGGTAGACAGAGCAGATTCTGGGGCTCTGCTATAATCTTTCCTATGATAAATGTCTGTTAATACTATTTCTAAACACTAGGTGGCAATAGACTAAAGAATAAAACAAAATTCAAATGATTCTGGTAGATTCAATCAACAAAGATATTAGATATTAACATGAAGCTGATTTATTTCCAGACTTTCAATAGCATTTCCCCCCTTACCTGGAAAGAGATCGGTACATCTCATAAATATTTCCCAGTAGATTAGGCCAAGTGCATACATGTCTACTTGTTTTAGAGCGGATTCACAGTCCCTCAGGTTCACTGCTCCTTCTAGCACTTCTGGTGCCATATATCGGATTGTACCAACCTAATGGAAAAAAGGGATATTTTCTGAAATTATCACATATTCTAGTGGATAAAAGCACTAACTGGAAGATATGAATTTTAAACATGATATTATTTGTTGCATGAATTCAAAATAGTCACTTAACTTCTGTGCTTCCATTTTCCATCTATAAAATGTCCATCTGTTATGTACAGATTACTTTAGAAACATATAAAATAAGTATCTTAAAAAATACATATGCTTCTGAGAAGAGAGGTGATCAATAAAAGTTCAAGGGCTTAGCATTAATTTCAGCACCTCTAATTATTTCTGTTATTGTCCTTCACCTAATAATTACCGATTTCCACTTGATTAAGTACAGCTAACCTTTCCATCACATGTCTACAGACTAATTTCCATTACATATTTAAATTAACCAAGAGTATTATTCCAATGAAGTCCATCATTTTTATCCAGCTTCTGGGATGGAAATGCTCTACTGGCTCTCCTTTCTAGCTCTCGGAATCATGAAGAGTATGTCTAAATGACCTGAGGTCCCTTTCAGTTCTAAAATGCATGAATCTATGTCTTAAACACATATCCCCAGGATCAGAGATGATCACATTAGATTTAAGATAATTTTTTAAAATTCATCTTCCAACTCCTATTAAAAGGAGGCTAGAAGGAATATCTGTGACAGGTGATAGAAGGTATTAGCAGTGGTAAGGCTCCCTTCTGCTCTGTATCAGCGAGAATCACCTTGGGGCACACCTCTTTGGAAAGGATCATTACCATCAATTAAACACTAATAGTAATATATCCTGTGCAATATACTGACATTTACTATCTTTCAAAATGAAAACAAGCAACATGAACTCAAATTTGTTTCAAACCTGCTTCAAAATATCACTTTGTTTGCTTGTCAAAATGCATTGGCATAACAATGATTTCCTAAAGGAATTTGGTTGGCTAAGTCAATAGTTGTCAAAAGTTGTAATGGGTTTAAAGTACTAATAATTACTAAGGTTAAAAAAAATCCCACTAATAACATCAATGATTTAGTAAATACACAAGAGGTGATGGTACAGGATTTATGAGAGTTTTTTCTGCAAACTACTAGGTCTTTCTGAATATTTCATTTAGGTATATCTCAAAAAAAACTCACCTCACTTATTGCTGCATTATCCTCTTCTCCAGGGCGGACAAGTCTATTTCCAGTTAGCCTCATGGACAATCCAAAGTCACTAATAACACAGGTTCCATCATTTTTTACAAGAACATTTCGGCTGTTTAAGTCTCGATGGGAAATTGCAGGTTTGTAATGATCTGTTTGGATAATTTCAAATGCTTATTATTAATATTTGAAACAAAACTGCGCTTTGGTAAGTAGGTGATACATAAATAGAGAAGCCTATTATTTTCTACCCTACCAATTTTTATTAATAAAAAAGATAACACAAGTAATCATTTTCTCAACTCATTAATCACTCATTTCTAACAGTCCCACCTACTTGTATAAGAAGGGTTAATTAAATATAAACTCATTTGGTGAAACTAATAGCTAATGTATTGCTTATTAATTCCTAAACAAACAGGTATGCTAGTTTAATCTCCTGGGTATGGCAACAGGGAGTTAAAAGAAGTAGAGGAAGAAGAATTATTATTATTTTTTAAACAAATAAAAATGTTAGCTTGACAGAATAACAATTTAAAACACTGTAATGGTTCCTATGATACAAAAAAAAGACTTAAAAATTCCTGCTTTACACCAGTGAAATAATGAGTCCAAACCAAAGGACTTTAAAGTGAAAAGTAAAGAAGAGGGATGGAAAAAACTGTCTATGTACATACACCAATCTAGATATCCTACAGAGGGGAAAGAATCATGGGAAGAATAACAGTGAATATAAATTAAAGGGAAAAAAGTCAAGAAAGGAGGCAGAAATAAACCCTATGGCCTCAGAGATCATTACACAATCAATAAACAAGGATTTATAAAGTGCTTACTATGTGGCTGGCACAGTGGTAGGTGCTGGGGACCTAAAAATAAAAACCAAACAGATCTGCTCTCAAGAAGCTTACATTCTATCAGAGGAGATAATAGGTAGACATAAATGCATACAGAATATTTAAAAATAAATTCCTAGTTCTGGGAATCATGAGCAGATTCAAATGACTTCTGAGATCCCTTACAAAATAAATAAATAGAAGTTAGTGGGGGTGGGGGCAGTGTCCCTAACAGTTGGGGAGTTCCAGAAAGGCTTCATTTTAAAGGTTAGGCTTGAATTGACTTTGGAAGGAAAACAGGTATTCTAAGAGGCAGGTAAGGGTGGGATAGCCTATGCAAAGGCAGGGAGATGCATAAATTATGGGTAACAAGCAACATGATCTAGAGACTCTAACCTGAGGAGAAAAAAAATTAACTTCATAGAGTTCACCAAATTGGTGGGATGAGACTTACAACAAGAACACTGATCTGGAATGATATAATATTCAAAATTCCCCCAAACTCTTCGCCTCACCCCATCCTAACTTTCCTATTAGCATAAAATGTACCACCATCTCATTCCCCCAGGCTCAAGACCTAGGTATCATTTAAATATAATGTCTTTAAATAGTGACTACTATAAGTAATGACTTATAATAACAGAACCCATGGGTTCTCTTTGTGGGAAATTTTGGTCAATGACTTTGTCAGTCTTTGGAGACCGCAAAGTTATATGAAATCAGGTTTGGTTTATACACAGCAAATGTGCTTTTAACTTTTGAAAATCTAGGTATCATCTGGGATTTCTCACTATCTCTCAGCTCCTATGTCCAGTCTACTGCTAAGGTCTGTTGGTTTCACCTTTGCAACATCTCTCAAACATGCTCCCTTCTCTCCTCTGACACTGCCACCATTCTAGTATAAGCTCTCATCATCTCATGTCTGGACTATTGCAATACTTATTGGTGGGGCTGCCTGCCTCAAGTCTCTCCCCACAGCTGTTAAAGTGATCTGCCTAAAGCACACATTTGGCTAGTCCCCCACTGACCACCTCCCCCTTTCACCTCTGCCCCTTGCTCCAACTTAATAAACTCCAGTGGCTTCCTACTGCCTATAGGATCAGATACAAAATACTCTGTTTAGCATTCAAAGTCTTTCATAACCTAGACCCTTTCTACCTATCCAGTCTTCTTACACCTTACTCCCAAACTTACACTGTGATCCAATGACACTGACCTCCTGATTATTCCTCAAACAAGTCATTCCATCTCTTAGCTCAGGGAATTTTCTCTGGTTATTCTCTGTGCCTAGAGGGCTCTCTCCCCTCATCTCTACCTCCTGGCTTTCCTGACTTCAAGTCTCAACTAAAATTCTACAGGCTTTCCTGGCCCCTATTAATTCTAGTGCCTTCCATCTTTTAGTTATTCCCTATTTATCCGACATTTAAGCTTGTTGGTATATATTCATTGCCTTCCATGTTAGATCATAAGCTCCCTGAGGGCAGGAATATCTTTTGTCTCTTTTTATATTTCTAGTGCTTAGCACAGTGCCTGGTACTTATTAATATTATTATTATTATTAAATGTTTACTGACTTAACAGGGTAGAAAAAAGGGTGGAGAACGGAATCACTTTATTTGAAAACATACTCATGTGAGGAAATTCAGGAACCAGAGGGGGAGAGGTAGAGACCATTTCACGAAGATTAATGGAAGAGAACCAGAAGCGATCCTGTCATTGGGACCACTTGGTTGGAAAGAGGAAGTAGATGAGCAGTTTAGGAAACAGATCACAAGCCCAGCAGAGTCCTGTAGAAGTGGTGGTAGACTTAAATATCTAGACATTTGCTAGACCTTGTCATCTCTACCAAAAGCAGATCAGGGAATACTATTGTGCTATGAGAAATGTTGGGCAGAATGCTCTCAGAAAAACCTGGAAAGAGTTACATGAACTGATACAAAGTGAAATGAGCAGAACTGGGAGAATGTTGTACACAGTAACAGCAATATTGTACAATGAAGAACTGCGAATAACTTAGCTATTCTCAGCAATACAATGATCCAAGACAATTCTGAAGGACTTATGAAGAAAAATGTTATTCACTTTCAGAGAAATAACAGATGGAATCTGAATGAAGATTGAAGCATACTTTTTCTTTCTTTCTTTATTTTTTTAGGCAATTGGGGTTAAGTGATTTGCCCAGGGTCACACAGCTAGTTAAGTGTCAAGTGTTTGGTATGAAGCCAGATTTGAACTCAGGTCTTCCTGACTCCAGGGCCGAGCTCTATCCACTGTGCTTTTTCTTTATTTTTCTTGGGTTTTTTTTTGGTTTATGTTTTCTTTCACAACATGATTACTATGGAAATATGTTTTGCATGACTGCACATGTACAATCTATATCAAATTGCATGCATTTTCAGTGATGTGGGAAAGGGAGGGAGAGAATTTTGTAATCAAATTTTTTTAAGTGAATGTTTAAAAGTGTTTTCACATGTAATTGGGGAAAAATAAAATATTAAATTAAAAATAGGCAAAAAAGCACACCAGCTAATAACTTCTTAAATTGCTTTAATTTTAATTCCATTCTCAAAAGTGGAGGGACCAACAAAAAGAAATCCTAATCTGGATGCAATTTTCATGGTTTTTAGGAAAGAAACACGAGAACTTTGGTGGTGGTGAAATAACTATTATATCTTAAGAGTCTATGATAGATAGAGAGATGATAGGTAGGCACAGTCTGACATTAACCCTACATAAATTTTGGCAGAACAAATTTCAAAGGAGGGTAAAAGAAAAGATAATTAGACTCCCAAGGCCAAAAAGTCTATAGAAGAAACTGACGTAGAAGTGCTGGGAAGTTCTCAATAATGAAATTCTGAAGATAGTTTCTAGTGAATAATTATAATAATAAGGGAATGAGTGAGTCTAAAAAAATTGATGTGGGTACAATGGGAATTCAACAACCAGTCAGACTTGAATAAAAGATCTGTACAACCATTCTTGAAATCAATTTGGAACTATGGCCCAGAAGTTGCTATGCATATTTTTGATCCAGAGATGTATGTATGTATGTGTGTGTGTGTGTGTGTGTGTGTGTGTGTGTGTGTGTGTGTGTATCCCAAAGAAGTAGGAAAACAGGAAAAGGACTCACTTGTAAAAAACATTTATAGAATTTTTTTTTTAATAGTGGCAAAGAACTTGAAACTAAGGAGGCACCAACCACTTGGCTGAACAAAAATACGGTATATGAATTAAATGGAATATTATTGTACCATAAGAAGTGATAAAAGAGACAGTTTCTGAGATACCTGGGAAGACTCATATGAACTGATTTATATGAACTGAAGTGAGCAGAACCAGAACAATTTATACAATAACAAGAATCTGTGCTTAGCCACATTACATGCTACCTCAACTTTGTTTACACACAAATGCATAACACAGCGTAGCTAACGTTAAATGTCAGAGGCAGGATATAAAGTGCTCTCCACATGCTAGAATACTGGGTTAAGGTGAATACACTGAAGTTTAAAAGGGATACATATAAAAGTCTTTTAAAGGAATTGATCTTCAACATTGCTTCATCTGGTCATTCCATTTCTCTCATTTCTCTTCTGTCAGTGTTACTACACTGGCATAGGAGAATTTGTTTAGCTTGCCTATGCATATTTGTTACAAGGGTTTTGATTTTATTTTACTTTTTTTCACTGAGGGAAGATAGGAGAGAGAAAAATAAATACGTGTTAATTAGAAAATAGAAAAATTTCTAAAAAGATTTGTACAAAAGCTGAAAAAAACAAAGAGAAGAAACAAAGACTGAAAACACAAGTGTAACAAGGTCCTAATACAAGCAGTATCAGGTGATTGAATGATTCCATTATGGATCACATACTTCAAGAAGGTGAAAGACAAAAAACAAAAGTCTAATATACATAGCAAAATACTCATAATGGCACTTTTTGTGGGAGCTGGAAACAAAGCAGGCCTATCACTTGGCGAATGGTGAACAAACTGGTGTGTGAATACAGTGTAATCTTATTGTGCAGTAAGAAATGGTGAATATGATGAATTTAGACAGATACATGGTAAGACTTATCTGAACTGATAAAGAATGCTAAACAGAACCAGAAGAATACACACAATGGTTATGACAGAAATTAAATGAAAATATCACTAAAAGGAATTAAAACTCCAAAAAGCTGAAAATCCAACAGTGGTCCCAGAGAACAGATAACAAACAAAACATATCTCCCTCCTTGTGACTGCTAGGCAGTCTCTATTGTCATACTTGGTAACTGCGCTGATTGTTTTTGCTTAACTATTTTTTCTTTGATACAGGG